AAAAAAAAAAAAAAAAAAAAAAAAAAGTAGTCCAGTTAAGAATCTTGGTAGGGAAAACGGTAGAGAAGTCTGCAAATTAGTTTCACAGGGATGGTATATGGGAAAAACTTTTACTCTACTTCTAAAGAGTGCCAAATTAGTCGTATTTTAAATAATTCCAATTCAGGAAACTGTTTCTACTTACTTAAATTTGACCTATACTGTTCAAAGTAGTTGTTCGCTTTTGTCTTTAGACTTAGATCAGATTAAAACTGCCCCATTTGCCTAAAGATTGTTGCAGTTTACTAATAATTAATATTATGTTTTATAATGTCTGGACAACAAACTAGACCAAGTGTACTGCTTTTAAGGAAGAGAAGTTAAAGTTTAAAATTATTTTGAATCTCTTTAGAAACAAAAATGTTCCGGTTAATCACAGAGACTTCTGGTATGCAACTTACACGTTATACAGCGTGTCAGAAAAGACAGAAAGTGAAGAAAAAATGAGTGATAATGCGAGTGCGAGTTCCGGCAGTGACCAGGGGCCCTCCAGCAGGCAGCACACCATGGTGTCCTTCCTCAAACCGGTCCTGAAGCAGATCATAATGGCTGGCAAGTCCATGCAGCTGCTGAAGAACCTGCAGTGTGCAGAGAGCACCACCTGCCAGGCCGCAGCCAGAGGTACCTGTTCCGTGTTCCTGTGTCTTCCTCGGTGTTGGGACACCTGACCCTACTCCATCTTGTCATCCTGATACCTGATTATTTTGTAGTTTGTAAGTCATCACACCCTCTTATTTCAGTGGTAATTATCAATCGTGATTGAATTAATAATCATGCTGCCCTTGATTTTTAAAAAGATCATCTTATTGAAAACTTTTAGGGCTGTGTTTAAAAAGGCAGTGACAATAAGTTCCACATTCATTTTCCTCACTCCAGATTCCTTAGGACTGGAATTTTAAAAAATAATTCCCTGCCATTTATTTTCTTTTATTGTTTTTATAAACTGACACCATAATTGTACATATTCGTGGAGTACATAGGGGTTTTTGATACATTTATGTAGTAGTTCAGGATAATTAGCATTTCCAGCACCTCAAACATTGACCACTCCTTTATGTTGGGAACATTCAGTATCCTCCTCTTAGCTGTATGCAACTCTATATTATTAACTGTAGTCATCCCATAGTGATACAGAACACTAAAACTTATTCCTTCCAGCTAGCCATTTGTATCCTTTAACAAATATCTTCCTTCCTTCCCCTACAAAATCCAGCATCTCGTATCCTGTTCTACTTTTTACTAACATGAGATAAACATTTTTTAGCTACCACACATAAGTGAAAACATGCAGTGTTTAACTTCCTGTTCCTGGCTTATTTCACTTCACATAATGTTCACCATTTCCATCAATGTTGCCGCGAACAACGGGATTCATTCTTTTTTATCTCTGAGTCCTGAGTGTGTGTGTGTACACAATTTCTTTACCCATTCATCTGTTGTTGGACACCGAGGGCGATTCCATATCTTGGCTGTGTGAATAGTGCTGCAGTAAACATGGGGGTGCAGATGTCTCTTTGTTATCCTGATTCCTTTCCTTTGGGTAAATGCCCACCAGTGGGATTGCTATATCAGATAGTAGTTCTCTTTGTATTTTTTTGAGGAACCTTCAAACTGCTCTCCATAGTGTCTGCACTAGTTTATATTCCCATCAACGTTGTGTCAGAGCTCCCTTTTCTCCACATCCTCACCAGTGTTTGTTATTTTTTGTCTTTGTGATAAATAGCCGTCCTGACTGGGCTGAAATGTTACCTCATTGTGGTTTGACTTGCATTTTCCCTAGTAATTAGTGATGCTGAGCATTTTCTCATCTATTCATTGGCCATTTGTATGACTTCTTTGGAGAAATGTCTCTTCGGATCATTTGCCTTTTTATTTTCTTTTTTTTTTCGAGACAGGGTTTCACTCCCGTCACCCAGGCTGGAGTGCAGTGGTGTGATCTTGGCTCACTGCAAGCTCTGCCTCCCTGGCTCAAGTGATTCTCCTGCCTCAGCCTCCTGAGTAGTTGGGATTACAGACACCCACCACCACGCCCAGTTAATTTTCTGTGTTTTTAGTAGAGACGGGATTTCACCATGTTAGCCAGACTGATCTGAACTCCTGACCTCAGGTGATCCGCCTGTCTTGGCCTCCCAAAGTGCTGGGATTACAGGCATCAGCCACCGCACCTGGCCTCATTCGTTGAATTCTTTCACTGTAAAATTTACTTGTTTGTTAAATACCTATTTTTGTTGAACTTCTCATTCAAAACATTCTTTTCCTGATTTTATTGCATGTTTACTTGTACTCTCTTTTGTCTCACTGAGTTTCCTTTTTAATTCTGAATTATTTTTCTGGCATTTCCTGTATTTCCTTATTGTAGTCTCTTACTGGAGAGTTACTGTTTTCCTTGGGAGGTGTCATTTTTTTTTTTTTGCTTTTTCATGTTTGATGTATTCTACATTGATTTCTACACATCTGGTGGGAAAGTCACCTTTTCCAGTTTTATGGAGTACGTTTTGTAGGGAAAGAATTATTCCTATGAATGGGTCTTGGAGTGTCAGTTCAGTGAAATGTATTGGCCTTGGTTCTGGATGAATGCAGTAGTGCAGTCTCCATGTACTTTCTACAGTTGTAATCCACTTCAGTGATGTTTCCAAGTACCTCAGTGACCTACACTGAGGGAGTTGCGGCAACAGTGGCACAACTGGCCAGGTGTGATGGCTCACGCCTGTAATCCCAGCACTTTGGGAGGCCAAGGCAGGTGGATCACTTGAGGTCAGGAGTTTGAGACCACCCTGGCCAATATGCCAAACCCCTGTCTCTACCAAAAATATAAAAATTAGCTGGATGTGGTGGCACATGCCTGTAATCCCAGCTACTTGGGAGGCTGAGGCACGAGAGTCACTGGAACCCAGAAGGCAGAGGTTGCAGTGACCCAAATGATGCCACTATGCCCCAGCCTGGGCAGCAGAGCAAGACTGTCCCAAAACAAAAAAACAGTAGCCTGGCTTTGCTGGGGTGGTCTTACTGGACTGTTTCTCAGGTTAGGGGTATGTGCATGTACACATTGGTTTGGCCAGGTTGGGACCACAGGCTGTTACTCTGGCCAGGAACATGAGCATGTGGTTGCTTGGCCAGCCTATAGGCATACCTGCCTGCCAGCAATAGCCCAAGGGGCTATTTCGCAGGCCTGGGATGTGTGCACAAGACAGGTTGGCAGGCCTGGGGGCTCCATGAGGACAGTCTACAGAGTCATTTTTCAAGCCTCGAACATGAGCACATGCTTCTCAGCTCTCCTGGGACTATGTTTGCTGGGGCTGGCCTACAAGGCTGTTTCTCAGGCCCAGGATGTGGGTACAAGGCTGCTTGGCTAGCCGGGATGCATGTCTGCCTGGACAGTCCAGGGGTCTCTTTCTCAGGCCTGGGACATGGTCACATGGCTTGTTGGCAGGCCTAGATATGTATTTGCCAGTGGCAACCCATGAGCCTGCTTCTTAGTCCCAGCATATAGGTAGAAGGCTACTTGGCTGACTTGGGGGTGTGTTTACTGGGGTGGACTTTAAGGCTCTTTCTTAGGTTTGGGATGCGGGTGCCAAGCTGCTTTGCTGGGTTAGAGACATGCCCACCAAGGGCAGACCACAGGGCTGTTTGGCAGGCCCAGTATGCAGGCCTGTGGCTGCTCAGCTGGCCTGGGGCCGTGACTTCCAGGCACTGCCTGTGGGGTTTCTTCTCAAGCCAAGAATGCAGCGCAAAACCGCTCAAGAAGCCTAGGTGCATGCCTGCCAGGGCAGCCTCTATGGCTGTTTCTCAGATGCTGAATGCTGGCCAGGGTCACTGGGTAGGCCACAGGCCTGTCTGCAAGGGATCGGTGCTATGGGGCTGTTTTTCAGTTCCTGAGCACAGCTCTGTAGCTGCTCCACCAGCCTAGAGGCCTGTCAGCTGGTAGAAAGCTCAAGGTGTTCCCACCCTCTGGAGGTGGCACAGCGGTTTGGCCAGCTCAATTCAAGGGTGGGTTCAGTCTGTCAGGGCTGCCAGACAGTGCAGTGGCAGGGGGTGGTTTTCCTGCTGTGCGGGACCAGAATCTCAGCTGATGCTGGGCCCAGGCTCCACACAGCTGGGATTGTGGTATTCAGCCACCCCTGTGGCTGGAGTGCAGAAGAGGTGCAGTGGCTACTGGCCCAGAGGAGGGTGTGCTCCAGAGGTGATCCTGGTCTTGAGGTAGTGCCGTGCTGCAGCAGCTTGGCTCAGAGAGGGGGTGGCAAAGACATCTTGTGCTCCTAACCCGGGGCAAGGCAGCTGCGTGTATTCCCAGCAGCTCTCCAAACTGGGCTCAGAGCTCGTGGGAACTGTGGAATCCTCTTATAGTAAGTACCAGAGGTGTTTGTGGGGGCTGGTGGGTTTCTTCTGCTTCCCTTACCCAACAACAGGAAGTCCTTCTTGACTCCAGACCAGCCTAATCTGCAAAGGGAAGACAGGGCTGCAGAGGCTGGAAGCCTCCACACTGCCCTCCTGTACCTCCAGTCACCAACAATGTGTCACACTCCTCCACTGCACCCCAGCACTCTCCTTTCAACCCCAGTTAGATCTTAACTGTTGATTTGTTGTCTGGGTCCTCTCTTGCAGTGGGGGTAGGAGTGTCCCCAGGCAGCCGCCTTGTAGGCATCACTTCCTCTGGATTTTTTTTTTTTTTTGAGACTGAGTCTCATTCTGTTGCCTGGGCTGGAGTGCCGTGGCATGATCTGCAACCTCTACCTCCCGGGTTCAAGTGATTCTCATGCCTCAGATTGCCAAGTAGTTGGGACTTCAGGCCACCACTCCTGGCTAATTTTTGTATTTTTAGTAGAGACAGAATTTCACCACGTTGGCCAACCTGGTCTTGAACTCCTGACCTCAGGTGATCCACCTGCGTCAGCCTCCCAAAGGACTGGGATTACAGGTGTGAGCCATCACGGCCAGCCTCTCTGTCATTTCTTAATGCAGTGCAGCGTTTAACCCTTGAGGACCATGAACCATGGCTGTTAAGAATTTGTTGATGAGCAGTTCTGATTCGATCACAGATTTCAAGAAAATGAAGTTTTATCCTGTAATCCCAGCACTTTGGGAGGCCGAGGTGGATGGATCACGAAGTCAGGAGATCAAGACCATCCTGGCCAACATGGTGAAACCCCATCGCTACTAAAAGTACAGAAATTAGCTGGGCGTGGTGGTGCGTGCCTGTAATCCCCACTCTCAGGAGGCTGAGGCAGGAGAACTGCTTGAACCAGGGAGACAGAGGTTGCTGTGAGTGGATATCGTGCCACTGCACTTCAGCCTGGTGGCATAGCAGTGCTCTGTCTCTAAAAGAAAATAGTTTCATCGACTCACTAAAGCGGCTTGGAAGATAAATGTAGCCTTATTTATGCATCTCAATCATCTCAATGTTATATTAATTATATTATTATATCTACTTGAAATAAATAGATGCAATACTTATTTTCATTTTTGTGGAGTATTTACTTCTTATGTAATGAGCTTTCCAGAGCCACTGTCAGAAGTGTTTTTTCCAGTGAGACTATGATTCCTATCAGTGTTATCATAGTGTTGTACAATATGGTAATAACTTTGAAGTATTCTGACTAGAATTTTACTATGTTCGGAAAAAACATAGCTTATATGTTGTGATTCTGTGAACATTGCAGTTGTTTAACAGAGGATCTAAAAATGTTTAGTTTTGCTACACTGTAAAGGTAAAAGTAAAGAAATAGGGATTAACCCTCCTAGAGCAAAGGGAAAATAGCAGGCTGAATCAGGATGATATTATTTAATATTTCTCCTTTTTTTTTTTGAGACAGGTTTCATTCCCATTGCCCAAACTGAACTGGAGTGCAGTGGCATGATCTGGGCTCACTGCAACCTTCGCAAGTTTTACCTCCCAAACGCTAAGTAATCTCATGCCTCAGCCTCCCAAGTAGCTGGGACCACAGGTTCATGTCACCACGCCTGGCTAATTTCATATTTCTTGGGCCAAGCGTGGTGGTTCACATCTATAATCTCAGCACTTTGGGAGGCTGAAGCCGGTGGATAACTCAAGGCCAAGAGTTTGAGACCAGCCTGACCAACATGGTGAAACTCTGTCTCTACTAAAAAAAAAAAAAAAAAAAATACAAAATTAGCCTGGCGTGGTGGCACACTCCTGTAATCCCAGCTATTGGGAGGCTGAGGCAGGAGAATTGCTTGAACCCGAGAGGCAGAGGTTGCAGTGAGCTGAGATCGTGCCATTGCACTCCAGCCTGGGCGGCAAGAGCAAAACTCCGTCTCGAAAAATGTTACTTAATATGATTAAACAGAGCATAGTTCACATTACATGTTTCTTTATGTTTCAGATGCAGAAAGAAAAAGCTTGTACACTCTCTTTCTGGAATCTGTACAGTCACGGCTTCGACACGGAGAAGATTCCACTCCACATGTTCTCACTGAGCAACAGGCAACCAAAGAGAACCTAATTAAGATGCAGTCCATTGCTGAAAGGCATCTTGAACTGGATGATGTTCACGATCCACTGCTTGCCATTAACTTTGCAAGGTGATAACACACCTGCAAGATTGTCAGTGATCAAAATGGCATAATCTGTGCAATGTTTGGTAACTGTTTATTTCCGGAAGGTAGGGCTTTCCAAGGCCAAAACCAAAAACACTTGTAGGCTATCCTTTTGTTTTGGTATATTTTGTTTTGTTTTGTTTTTTCCTTCTTTTTTTTGTTTTTGAGACAGAGTCTTGCTCTGTCGCCAGAGCTGGAGTGCAGTAGTGCGATCTTGGCTCACTGCAACCTCTGCCTCCTGGGTTCAAACAATTCTCCTGCCTCAGCCTCTCGAGTAGCTGGGACACGTGCGCCACCACACCCAGCTAATTCTGTTTGTATTTTAGTAGACACAGTGTTTCACCATGTTGGCCAGGATGGTCTCGATCTCCTGACCTTGTGATCCAATGGCCTCGGCCTCCAAAAGTGCTGGGATTGCAGGCGTGAGCCACCACGCCCAGCCTTGTTTTGTTTTTGAGACAGAGTCTCTATGTCTCCCAGGATGGAGTGCTGTGGTGCGGTCTTGGCTCACTGCAACCTCCGCCTCACAGGTTAAGCAGTTCTCATGTCTTAGCCTCCCAAGTATCTGGACTGCAGACGTGCACCACCATGCCTGGCTAAATTTTTGTGTTTTCAGGGTTTCATCATGTTGACCAGGCTGGTCTCAAACTCCTGCCTTCAGGTGATGTACCCACCTTGGCCTCCCAAAGTGCTGAGATTATCGGCATGAGCCACCATGCCCTGCCTGTCTTTTATAATGAGCAGAATACAAAATGTGCTCCCCGATTTCAGGTGTGTAGTTTGGATTCTGTGTGATTTGTAAAAGTCTGCTGACTTGGCCCGGCCACCATGTGGTAGACCTTGTGTCTGTGCCCTCGGGCCCCTGGAAGTGTCATCATTTACCCAGGATGTGCTGAAACTCTGGGCCATGAGTGGGCGGGCCCTGGACATCCATTGAGTCAGGGTCCCCATTGCCATAGGTCCTGGGCTTAAGCTGCTTTTAGGCACTTATCCCAATAGTGTAACTCATTATTACCCACACAGTTTTGGGTTGTCTAATGGCCAGCATTTGCTACGTGCACCCCTAATCACTAGAAAGATTGGCTCTAGTACCTGACCGTAGGGAAGTGGCAACTTCAGGAGACTGGTTCTCTCATAGGATATTTTGGGGAGAAAGATTTTTCTCTTTCTGTAATAGTTGGTAACTTCAGGACTAAAGGTAAAAATGGGAATTTGGGGTTTTAAGAGAATTTTGTTGACAGCCACTCATAAAAAGAAGACTCACATTTTTATCTTGAAGGATGTATTTGGAGCAGAGCGACTTTCATGAGAAGTTTGCTGGTGATGATGTATGTGTGGATAGATCATCAGAATCTGTGACATGCCAGACCTTTGAATTAACGCTGAGATCCTGCCTCTATCCTCATATTGATAAGCAGTATCTGGATTGCTGTGGAAATCTCATGCAAACTCTAAAAAAAGATTACAGGTAAAAGAGTAATTTGATTTTGGAAGTGGTAAATAGATGATTGTACTTGAAGAGCAGTTGAGATTATTTTAAAACCTACATTTCAATTCCATTTTTATTAGACTAGGAAATGGATATGCAGTAAACAGTTTTTTAGGAGAAATCAATTGACCATCAATATTTT